TGTATAATAAAGCTACTTTAGCCCTTTTCCCCTGTAAAAATTATTTCTAATCTGTACATTGTTCTAGTAAGTTCCTATCAAACAAAACCAACTGTAAAGAGTGTTACTTTAGAACTACCCTGAGAACTGATAGGGACCAAGAGAATGTCAATTTGCTGAGTATTAGATAACTTGTATAAGAATTATGAAATATGTATACCTTTTGATCAAAGTATAAATGCCTTCTGAAAACATCCCAGAGAAATAATGTAAAGGCAAAAACACTTAGATATTTACAGCATCCACTTAGGCAATGGAATATTTAGCCACAGAATAAATATCACCATGGGAAAACACGGAAATTTGTGCAGAAAAAAAGGTTAGGTAAAAAACATTTGTACACAAAACAGTATATACATATTAATTACAATTCTACAAAAATATAACTGCACATTGATAATGATTGGAAAAGAATATTGGATAATATACGTGCCATCCTAAGTTCATAAGATTTTAATAATCGTTAATAATTTTAACTTCAGTTACTTGTTAAAAATTAGCAAGTATACTATAATTTTAAATTGGAAAATGTAGATCATTATACTATACTATCATAAAAAGTGTAAGTATTTGTAAGCCATTACTCAAAATGAAACACATTATTATATTAGTACTTATCAATAAATTTAAATGATAATTGGTAGACATAAGAACAAGCTATTATATAAGCAATTAGTTTTTTTAAAGATTTTATTTATTTATTTGAGAGAGAGAGCACAAGTGGGGGGGCAGAGGGAGAAGTAGACTACCTGCTGAGCAGGAAGCCCAATGCGGGACTTGATCCCATGACCCTGAGATCATGACCTGAGCCGAAGGCAGACGCTTAACCGACTGAGCTACCCAGGCGCCCCAATTTTGTTTTCTTAAAACCTGCAATCTGAATGCTTATACTCAGGGTCTTTCCCTCACTCCCACACCCAAATCCACATTCATCCCTCCTTGTCGCGAAAAACCAAATAGAACAAAACACGATTCAAATACTTCTAGCTCCAGATCAGACTGTACATGGGGAAGTAAGCCCAGGGGTCATCCCCGCCACACACTCTGCAGTAAGGGCAGCACAGTGTGTTAGGCCAACCAGGTAGGGCAGGATGACCCCCATTCTCCCAGTTCTGAGTTGTCTGATAGAACATTCCCCACCAGCGTGTCTCAATCACACCCAGCTTCCAGCATATCCCACTCTGGCTCACGTGGAAAGGAAGATCTCCCTCTTTCTGGGTGCCACCACCGAGTAGAAGCCCTTCCATCCACTCTGAAATTCTTCCAAAGGAGGGCTAGAATGCTTTTGTGGTTGACATTAACAGTGAAGGAAAGGAGCTACTGACTAAAGACAGCTTCATTGATGAGCAAGGTGGGACTCCGTTCTCCTCCTATATCTTGCCAGTTGCATGTGGACTCTGGTTTCCCTACCTGTAAAATATGTTGATTCTTTTTGTCCTTTCCTATTGCTCAGGTGGTGGTGGTGATGGGGAGGAGAGCTGCTAATGAATGCCAACTACGTCCCAGACCCTCTGCTAAGCTCTTAACACGCATTTATCTCACTTAATCCCCCACAAAAACCCCTATGAAAAGTATTTGCATTATCTCCAATTTATATTTGAAAAAACAAGGATTCTGAGAAGCTACATAATTTGCCTTTGGTTACACAGCTAACAAATGGCCATGAACGAACTTACACACAGCTCCATCTGCTGATGCTAAAACCTGGCTTTTAACCTCCATCCCATATGTCCTTGATGTACATTTATAAAACATCAGACTCATAAACATAGAGAACAAACTGGTGATTGCCAGAGGGGTGGTGGGTGGGGGACAGGCAACATAGGTGAGGGGGATTAAGAGGTATAAACTTCCAGTTATAAAACACATCCATCACGGGCATGGAAACTCCAGCACAAAAAATATAGTCAATAATATTGTAATAACATCGTATGGTGACAGATGGTGGCTACACTTATTGTGGTGAGCTTTGAGTCACATATAGAATTATCCAATCAATATTGTACACCTGAAACTAATATAACATTGTACGTCAACTATGTTTCAATAGTAAATTTTAAAAAATCATAGGAAATCATGTTAAATACTCAAAAAGCCTAAAAGAGACATATTACAAGATTCATGAAAACAGTTTCATGTTATTATCCTTTGGATGTGGTATCATGCTCCAAAATAAACTTCATTTCTGAAACATTCTTTCCTACTTGTGCAGAAGAAAAACAAAAAAAGGCATTTTTTTAACAAAATAGTTCTCAACCCAGGGACCTTGCAGTGGTGTGATACCCGCCCAGAGCACCAGAAGGGACCTTCGTAGTCATAGAGATGAGTCATTTCCTTTTATAATTGAAGATACTGCCTCGGGAAGAGTGGGGAGTTCATGGCAAGGCCACAGAGGCTCCAGTCCAAGCCCAAATTTGCCAGGCCTCACTTAGTTCTCCCCTGGACCCTTCCACAGAGCTTTAATCTCTGCTCAGATGGTTCTTGGAAGCACTGAAAAATGTACCTGTCCCGTCTCCCTCCCAGTCTCTCTAACTTTTCTCCCTATCCCCCCCATCAACCACATCCTTGGGCCTTTGGTCATCTCAAGCTGTCTGTTCTTGCTGGACTGTCTGCTTCACAGAGCTCTGCAGGCAGGTGCAGGAAGTGCTGCAGGTGTGAGCTTTAATTAAACAGTGAGAGACACCCCCCAGACTCCTTGCTATTCTCAGCTCACCACACGCCAGGTAGTCTTATCACTCGGCTGCAGAGCGCTGCCCACATAGGAAGACAACTGCAGCTGATGTCCGCAGAATGCATCTTCGGCCTTTGCATAGATTCGTGCAGTAGCAAAGGCCTGAAATATAACCGAACAAAAGAATGAGATCTATGGAAATAAAGTTGATGAGAGCCCCATTCTTTAAACATCTCAGCTAGACCCAAATGGAAAGTCCGCTATGGAACACACTCCAATCAAGGTTTTGCCAACCCCTTTGGGATGGAGCTGCGGCTGATAAGGTCACTGCTTCATTTAAAACATCAGTGGACAATTCTCAGTTCTCTTCCACTTGAATATCAGCAGCATTGGACACAACTGAAGAAGGATCAGTGCCCAGATAATGATGTCACTTATCTGAGAGATTCATCAATGCCTTGGTGATAGAGTTTTGGTAGTCAACACCAAAGTAGACCAGCATTTTTGGTAGCTATTGAATATATATTTGTGTTCAGGCTAACTGTGTATAGGTTTCTCTATGAAATAAGTTCAGTTCTTCTCAATTTAGCTTTTTTTTTTAAGATTTTATTTTTAAGTAAGCTCTACACCCAACATGGGCCTCGAGCTCACAACCCCGAGACTGAGAGTCACATACTCTACCAGTTGAGGGGCACCAGCCAGGTGCCCCCCGACTTAGATTTTTTATGGTCTTTAGGAAGTACCAAATCTATCAAGATGCATAAATTTGTTAGAAATCTGTTAACCCTAAGAGGATATAATATTATCAACTGCTATCCAAACCCCCACAACTTGGTGAGTCCACTATGCATCAGGAATTGCATCGTCCTGTGGTTGAGGTAACAGATTTTACTGGAGTCTCCTGGAACCTCACTGCCCAGGTTCCAATTTTGGCCCTGAGGCTCACGAGCTTAGAGAACAAGAGAAATAGAAAACATTCACGGCTATCAGAAGCAGATGCATAAGATTATCACTGCATAAAAGTGCTCAGCCGAGGGAGGAGTAGCTGCGTTCTGTCCATGCCCCTCTCACTGAGCCCTGTGTCCAGTGCAGGGTTGTGTCCGCCTGAAGGAAGGGGCTCTGCTTGGAGAGGTGTGTGTCCAAGAGATGTGTCTTTTCAGAGAAAGTGACTTTTTTCTAATTTGCACAAAGCTGCCAAATAGCCCAGCAGCCCAGCCCTGAAACTGGGTTTTTTAGTGGCAACTCTGAAATTGGGCCTTTGTCTTCAATATAATTTGGTTGTGAGATCAGTTAGATGCGGAACTCCAATGCCTAGAATACCACCTGCCACGTAGCACTCGAGAAATATTTGTTGAGTGAATGAATAAAAAACAATCTGAGAACAAGATGTAAGTGCTGAATGTTGTGGAATATAACAGTATTTCTTATCCAGGAGGTTTCCAAGACTCAGGGAAACAGAAGGTCAAAACTATTTCTATAATAATACTAAAGCCTTACTTGTCTACTTCACTCATTCTCTATATGGTTTCAGATTCCACATTACAACTAACCCTGAAGAAACTATAAATTATCCATTTTTAGAGTACTGCCAAAGAAAACTATCCACAATTATCTGGAAAGGCTATTAGAGTACTTCTCTTTGTTTGTGAAGCTGAATTTTCTCCATACATTGCATCCAAAGCCGCACATTGCAAATTGCACCAGATTGAATGCAGAAGCAGATAGGAGATCCAGTTAAGTTAGACATTAAAGCAATTTCAAAAACAGAACAATGGTACACTCCTCATTAAAATTTTGTATTTAGGGGAAAAAAGTGATTTTTCATTTAAGAATGTGTCATTTATGTTAACTCTTAATGTATTATTATTGTTATTTCAAATGAATTCCTAGATAAATATTTTTGTCATTTACCCATTGTAATTTTAATTTGCTTAATATTAATAGCTACCACTCATATCAACAAAAACTCTAGGTTTTTTCATGATTTTTAGGAGTATAAAGTGGTCCCAAGACCAGAAAGTTTGAGAACTGCCGAAATGAAGCAAACTAGATGATCAGAATCACTTGGGGAACTTTGTGAAAATACAGATTCTGGGCCCCACTCCCCTAGATTCTGATTCAGCTGAGCTGGGATAGAGCTCTAAGAATCTGTATTTTGTAAGAACACCCCCCCCCCCCCCCCCGGCTCCGTAATTGTGATCATCAGTCACTGGTAGAAATAATATACATAATAGAAGTTTGGGGAAACACAGGCCCTTGGGGAGTCTGTGCTACAGTTGTCAGAAAAGGCTTCAGTTATCCAACAAACATTTATTCAGCATGCACCGAGTTCCAGGCAATGTTGGGAACATTGGCCAGACACAGGCCGTGTCCTGAAGAGACTCACTGACAAGTGGGAGAGACAGATAGGGCAGGGAAGGGGGTTATGATGGGGGAAATAGGGAGCTGTGGAAACAAAGAGGCAGGGCACCCCACTTCAAACAGCTGGCCTTACATGATGGGAAAGTTCTGGTAAACCAAGGGGAAAGAGTGCCAAGGACCTAGATTATGAGTGATGATCTGGAGGCAGATGGTGATGATGCCCAGGTGGTAAGCAGTACTTTGACCAGCCTGGCTGGCGGAGGTGGGGCGTGCTGGCTAAAGAGAGAGCAAGATAAGATTAGAGAGGCTGGGTGGGCCAGACAATGGAGGAGGTTAACCCCAATTTGCTGCTTGGAGTCTGGTGAAGAGATGACGCAAGTCAGGCTTTAGGATTACAACTTTGGTACCATCATGGAGGGTGAGGAGCTGGAGAATGGGATGCCTGCTAGTCGACAATTAGAATAACTTGATTCTGGGGCCATCCAAACCAGGCAGGAAAATAAGCAACAGTGTTCATGACCATAGTCTATCAGAAATTAGATAATTCGCTGAAAATCAGACTGTGGGATAGAATAAGTTCAATAAACCCTCCCTGAACATCCTTTGCCCTCTTTGCTTGGATTTCATGAATCATTTTATAACAGCAGCTCTTGAAATTTTACAGTCATGGACTTTTTTTGCAAATCTGATGAAAATTTTAGATATTTTCTCCCAGGAGGAGGGCGGGGAGCGGGCAGTGAAATAAAGCAAAAAATTGTGTATGTGACGAGGCAGGATTTTCTTCACTCTCATGTTTCTTTACCCTCTTATCTTGTTTTCTCTTTCTTTCTAAAAATAGGTATCATTTGGTAAGAATGAAAAAAAGAAAAAAGAAAAGAATGCTTTTTAACAGAATAAGGCACCAGAGTTTTCCTCTAAGAGGTAGTGAATAGCTGCAGTAGAGAGGCTGGGGTAGAAATTCCATTCTGAAGTCTGGGAAGCCTCTTCCTGGGGAGCCCGAAGGACGCAATATGGGGGAGGGGTGGCAAGGGACAGGGACTGAGTCCGAGCACAGTGGAAGGGGAGGCACTAATGAGGTCAGGCAGGGTTTGACCCATGCTTTCATGGAGAAAGTGCACAGCCATACTCGATGAGTAGGAGTGATTGCCTAGTAATAAGGCTTTCTTTTGGAAAGGCACTGTACCTTTATACCCACCAGACCTTGTAGCCATAACCAAGTGCAGGTGTTACCTCTTCACTTAGCTCCTTATGAGCCCTCATCTTCCACAGCATTTGGGACTGGTCTTCCTCCAATCAGGGCCGCTTGTCACAGTTGTGAAGGCTGTTCACCGAACAAGGCTGCAGGCCAAAGGGATGGGGGAGACTGAAACTCAGCCTGTGCTGGGCTTGCCTGGGCTCTGTGGGCTGGCCCGGGACCATGTGCATCCAGAGCAGGAGCCATGTTCGAATTCTCACAAATGTCCTGCGAGCTACCAGCACTCTTTCTGTTCACCTGCCTCCTCCCCTTCCCTTTACCGCAGGGGCCGTGGCAGACACCTGTTAGTTTGTAAGTCTCCACAGTATAACGTGGGCCGGGAACATGAACCAGACTCCCATCTCCCCTCCTCCCTCCTCCCTCTCCTTACTCTGCTCCTCCATCCTTCCCTTACCCTCCTCCCAGAGCCTCTTACACGTGGACTTCCCTGGCTCAAGAAAGGAGATTGAGGTGGATGGGGGGAAATGACTCAGTACTCGACAAGCATGCTGCTTCTACCAAGAGCAGAAAGAAGAAAATCAACCCAGACGGAATATAGCAGCCTCCCTCCTGCCTTTGGCCCAAGCCTCGAGCTAAGAAAAGTTGTGAAAAAGGGCAGCCCATAAATGGTACCTGAGTAACAGCCACAGAATCAAAACCACAGGAGAGCTAATGCATTCCCCCACTGCTGTGGGGTGAACAGGCTTGGCTGGGTTCCAGATCACACACCTGCTGTGGTGCAGGCTCTGGGCTAAGTTTTTTGGCTGGAATCAGCCCCAAGTTCAATCTAGCTGAATTCCCTCCCCCTCTATCTTAAGAGGAGCTTTGAAAGTGTGGGAAATGAGCATGTTACCCCACATGTAAGCCCAGCTGACTTACCCACTTCAGGCAGTCTCCTCCTCCTCCCAGGGGACTAGGCTCCTGCTGCCAGGGATGGTCCTTTCCCTGAGGCCCACGTGGGTCTGCTCCTGCTAGTCTCATTCCTACGAGAGCAAGTTAAGGCCCAGAGCTTGATTTGGAGCCAAGCAGTAACCTGGTGCTACAAGGCTTTTTACTTCAAGCTGTGACCAGGGGTCCATAGTCACCATCATAATAATGGCGAGCCTTTTGGGTGCACTTATTAGGTACCAAGCCCTTTCTATTCCATATCTCACGAAATTTAAGGCCACCTCCTGAGGAGTTACTCCCTCCATTTCATAGATGAGAGAACTGAGACTCAGAAATATTGTGAAGTTTGCCCAGGGTCACCAGCTCCCACACACCCCACAAACCCAGGCAAAAGGACCTCCTCCTTCCGCTTTAGATATGGACATCTGTCAAACTCTACTGCAGCCTTTCTTCAGGGAAAGCGGCCTCTAGGAGTCCATTTCAAAGGTCCACACTTGCTAAAAATGGCCAGATAACCATTATTAGACTAGACACAGAAAGAAAAGAATGTCTGGTTAAAAGTCAACTAGACATTGTCTGACAGTCGTCAGCTGAGGGGGCGGTGGTGCGAGGGTGACTGGTTTCTCAGAACAAGTCAATTCCATTAGAATCCCATCAGAAAATTGCGTAAGTGTTTTAGCAGGAGTACTGATTTTCTTTCCAGGAGGAGGCTTTGGATTATATCACACACAGAAAAGGTCTGTCCCAGACCATCTCTGGGACAATTTTTCTTTCAGTGCTATTTTGGTGAACATCACGTTACACTGATGTAGTCCATGACCGGTGCAATCTAATTACATAGTAAAACACATAATCATGGAGCCACAGTCATCCTCAGAAAGCATCAACCTGTCTGCCTGGTTTATAACAGGTGCTTACTAAATGTTCATTCAGAGAGTGAATAAGCTAATGAATGAACTTTCCCGAACAGATTAGAAACCAGTGAGTTAGATCAACACTGCTCCAAGTGTCATCCAAAGACCAGGCCGGGTAGGTCTGCAAACGATTACCAGACCACTGCAAGATAAGCATGGAAATCAAGAGGACATATTCAAAGTTGTTTAGCACCTGGATAATGTCTATTGAATCTAGTAATAAAACAATGGGACTTACATTTCATATGTCCCTTTTTGTTTCATGTTTCCCATTAATTCTGCGTATTTTCTTCTAAGAATTTGATATGCTTTTTTTTTAAGTTTTTATTTATTTATTTATTTGAGAGAGAGAGAAAGAGAGACAGAGCACAAGCAGAGGGAGCTGTAGGCAGAGGGAGAAGCAGGCTTCCCGCTGAGCAGGGAGCCCGATGCAGGACTCGATCCCGGACCCTGGGATCAGACCTGAGGCGAAGGCAGACGCTTAACGACTGCGCCTCCCATGCGTCCCTCGAGATGCTTTTAAACAGTATTGGTCTGCAATGATTGGAAGTTTTTAAAAAAAAAAAAACTTTTACTACAGCAGTTAAATCAGACGATCCCATTGGAAAGGCCAGATGACTCTGACTCTATCCCATGAGAGGTTCCATTCTGAAAAAAAAAAAAAACAACACCCTGGCAGAGAAAGAGATCCTGAGTCTGCCATACACAGAGCTCCAGCCAAAGAGCTCTAACAGCAGCCTTACCCAAGATGACTAGTCATTTTTTGGAGGCGAGAGAAATACAAGTGTCCAGTCCACCTCCTCATCTCCAGCTTCTTAGAGCTATACCGTAGCTTGGAGGCTCGGCAGCTCTCACGGTCTCCTCCCTCCCCTACCCCCGAACTTCAGAAGGAACCAGGGAGAATCAGAGACGTTAGCATCAAAGCAGAGCCGAATCCGAGGCTCTGTTGTGGCAGGATGGGGGTTTTCTCCCCCCACCAGCCCCTCCTTACCTTTCTCCCCAGTCCCCCTCCCAGCCCTTCCTGGGAGGAAGTCTGGTAAAATGAAGGGAAGTGACCACGGATGTGTACAAGTTCTGACAGGTGGCAACAGTAACAAAAGAAAGGTGTGTTTGCCTCACAGCTGTTCCCCTCTGAATGCCTTAAGCCTCCTCCAGGGAGCTTCTACAGGGAGACCAACCTTGTGGGAAGGGCAGAGGAAATGGGGGAAAATGGGGGGACAGAAGGGGGAAATATGGGCAGGGAAGACCAGGGAGAGAAGAACTGGATGGATGGCTGTCAAAGCCTGTGATGAACTTACAAGTGACTCGCTAGGAAAGTAAAGAAAGCTCTGGACTTCACATGTCGTACATTTCTTGTTGGGTCTGATGTTTCCATAGCGCCCCGCCCCCCAGTTATATAACCAAGGAGCTAGAGCGTGGAACCAAATAAGAGGATCCACTGTGGGAAGATTGCATAGACGCGATGAACAAAGATGCGGTTATAGGTTCTTTGGAAAAATCTGGGCTAGTTACCACCCTGCCTTTTTATACAATGGCATAGGAGTATGTGTATTCATTAATATGCTGACATTGAAAGTTGTTCATAATACAGTAAGTGAAAAAAAAGCAGATTGGAAATCAGATTATACCAGGCAATCCTATTTTTGTAAAAATATGCACATATGTGTGTAAGAAAATTCTGGAAGGATAAATACAAAAAAATGATCTAACCCTGATTATCAAAGTGATTTTTATTATTGTCTTTTTGCTTGGCTGTTTTTTCTAATCTTTTCAACAGTAAGCATACATTTTTATAATGTGGGGGAACAGATATATAGAGAGATCTATCTATCTAAAGAATTTATTTCCTTTATGATTCCTTTAACCTGTCGCAACCAGGCTGGCTTACAGATTTCCCTTCTGAGCATATGGGTGGAAGGTTGGGAGAGCATCCTTCAGGATCCCCCTGGACCCTTCAGCCCTAAGTTGTTCTGGGCCCGTAGCTCTGGCTGTTGAGCTCATTAGTAACAGGCAAGGCAGAGCAGCTATCTGGCCGTGTGTCCTGGGTCTTCCTGCTTCTCTACCGTTGTTGGTTTCATGTGGGGGCCTTTGTCTCGGACATTTTCTTTCTTTTTTTTTTTTTAATCACCTGCCAACGCCCCTGACATTTTAAGTAAAGGGCAAACCTTTAAACGTCCATCATTGCAACCTGAAACAAATAAAGTTCACAGCTCAAAGGTAGAGAGGCTGGAAGGCCAGACGCCTGAGGGAAGAGGGAAGAGCACCCAAGACTGAGTCCCACCTCGGCCTAAAACCAGCTGTGTGTCCATGGGCAATCACGAGACTCAGTTCCCTTACCTGTAAAGTGAGGAAGTTGGGCTCAATCCTTCCTGACCTCCGTTCTAACTCCAAATGTGTGAGTCTGGTAATATAAGAATAGTAATCACATATAACATAATATGTTATAAATATTACATAAATAGTAATACTATATAGTATAACAACTGTAATAATATAATAAAAATAATAGAGAAACAGAAGAAAATGTTCCAGCCCTGTTGATTTAAATATCAGACCCTCAGTGGAAACCTATACTAACAGAAGGGGAGAAAATTAATGTGTTTGTGGGCAGTATCCAGAAAATTAATGCAAATATGGTTTGGGGCCTGGATTAACAGATAATTTCCTTCTTTCAGACTTCTCCATTTGTCGAACAGAGATATAATCTGTCTAGCTCACATAATGAGTGTTTAGCAGAAAATCACGCACTGGTGGGTCCAATTCTTATTTTTAGATGTGTTCTGATAATAAGGAGGATAACAGTGACAGCTAGGGGACGCCTGGGTGGCTCCGATGGTTAAGTGTCTGCCTTTGGCTCAGGTCATGATCCCAGAGTCCTGGGATCGACTCCCACATCGGGCTCCTGGCTCAGCAAGGAGCCTGCTTCTCCCTCTCCCTCTGCCTCTCTCCCTGCTCACACTCTCTTTCTCTCTCTCTCTCTCTCTCTCTCTGTATCTCTGTGTCTCAGATGAATAAATAAAATCTTTAAAAAAAAAAAAAAAGCAGTGACAGCTAGGCCTTGGAGATGGAGACCTCCCTTCCGGTCAGTAACTAGGTGTGCGGCTCAGACACATTCCCTCGCCTTCCGGGGCCCCAGCTCTCTCACTCCTGTATTCTTGCGTGTGTCGATGAGGCCTTAGCCTTCCCGAGCCTTGGCTTCCTTGCCTGTAGAATGAGGATTGTCTCGAGGCCACATGAGACTACGTCCACGAAGCACTTGATGACGAATCGAGCGCTAAGTAAATACTGGCCATTATCACAGTGAGACCTGGAGAAGCGCCTTGGACATTTTTCACGAGCCATATGAATGAATGTATACGTGAGATGATGGTAGTGAGGAAGGAATGGAGTTCAGCATCTACCCAGACGCCGGAGGAATCAGGGAGGGGGGGGTGTACCTAGCTGCAGAGAGAAAATGATGAAGAGGAAGAGGAGAGAGAGGGGATGGATTTCAGAAGGACATCTGTGCTGTGATTATTGGGGCTTTCTGACAGCTTTCTTTTCTTTTCTTTTCTTTTCTTTTTTTTTAAATACGTTCAGTCAAAATCCTCAGGAAATCTCGTTCCCTGAGCCCACAGCAATGCCCTCCAACAGCTGCCTTGGGTTAACTCCGGTGACTCGCTTGCCAGTTGTACCCTTGCCTGTTTCCCTCAGTGTAAAAGCTCCACAGACAGGTGGGACACCTTCTTATGTTCTATCTAAAAGGGCCAGCACGGGGGCGCCTGCGTGGCTCAGTCATTAAGCGTCTGCCTTCGGCTCAGATCATAATCCCAGCGTCCTGGGATCAAGCCCCGCATTGGGCTCCTGCTCCGCGGGAAGCCTGTTTCTCCCTCTCCCACTCCCCCCTCCCTCGCTGTGTCTCTCTCTCTCTCTGTTGAAAAAAAAATAAAAATAAAAGGGCCAGCACAGCCAACGGCGTCAGCAGATGGGCCCCCAGGCGCAGGAAACTTGCTGCCTCTCAGGCACATGCCACCGGTTCCATGCAGATTCCTGGAACCGCTCCGTGGGGCCCAGCAGGCAAGCTCTGGGCTCTACTTTGAGTCCTCTCTAGACCCTGCCTTCTAGTCATTTCCTTCCTTGTTTTCAGAATCAGGGGGGAAACCACTTGCCTGTGTCAGCCCCAGCCCTACCCTACTGCTGTAAGTCAGGTCACTTTCTGCACCAGCCTGTTTGCCCATCCAGCCCATGGAACAGTCCTAACCCAACAGGCAGAGGGGCTGGAATCCCCTGTGAAGTCAGTCGCTTCTGAAGGGAACTGGGGACTGAACACTGATCATTGCGTAAAGCATGTGCGTCACTCTCTCCAGGACGGCAGAGAAAAGGTTAAGCCTGCTTTCTTTTTCAGAGGTGCGGTTTATTTTTAAATGATGCTGTATGTCTACACCATCTAGGCTTCTTCTCAGTTAAAAAAAAATGAACTACTGAATATTCTCTCTTCCTTTTCCTAACTTATTTTCTTTATAGCACTGATCACCCATCCACCCACCGCCTATCCAAATGTTGTGATATGCCAACATTTATTTTTTTTAAAGATTTTATTTATTTTTGAGAGAGAGTACAAGTTGGGAGGAGGAACAGAGGGAGAGGGAAAAGCAGACTCTCCGCTGAGCAGGACCAGGACCCTGGGATCGTGACCCGAGCCGAAGGCAGACGCTTAACCGACTGAGTCACCCAAATGCCCATACCAAAATTTATTTAGCCACTTTCTGTTGATGACATTGGGTTGTTTCTAGTTTTTGTTATTACCTACAATGATGCTAAAAACATTCTCATACATGCTTCCCAGGAAATCTATGCAAGTGTATTTCGAGGGCATGGAATTTCCGGGTCAAGGATATAGGCTATGCAACACTACTAAGTGTTGCCAAATATTATACCAATTGACACCCCCAAGAACATCATATAAGACTTCCAATTGTTTCATATCCTTGCCAAGGCTTGATAGTGATACTTTTTAATTATTTGCCAATATAGTGGTGTGAAAATGATATCTCAATGCGGATTTTGTTTTCATTTCCCTGACTACTCATGAAATCGAGTGCCTTTTCTATTATTTATTGGTCAGGCCATGCATATTTCCTCTTCTGACACGTGTCCATTTTTAGATTAGGCTGTTTTTTCTTATTGATTCATAGTTTTTTTAAATATATTATGGATAAGAGCAGAGCTTCTTAAATATAAATATGTCATTAAAAGACACACAATTCTTGAGCATCGCTATCCCAAAACTATTCTTTTGCTTATTCAAGTTAATCAACATGCTCTTCCTTTCTGCATAGGAATCCACCAAAAACATAATGACACCACCATTTGAACAATAGTTTACAAACATAAAGCACTTCCACAATCATTATTGTACTAATTCTTAGAATCACCCAGGAATAAGTACCTTTTTTAAGACAGGGAGACTGAGGCTGAAAGACACAGGACCCAGACTTTCTGACTCCAAAATAAACCACAATTATCTAGCCTCTTACTCCTTCCTGATGGCTCTTTATCCACCATTAAGTATTAAGTTCCGTGTCAGGATATATTTTAGAATCAACCGAAAAAGTTAATGTGAACTTTAGGTTGAATCAAGTACTCTTTATGAATTTACATGACAAGTAAATTCTAGGGTTCATTTTATCTTTTCTGGTGAAAAACTGCCCATGATCTTGGCCAATGATTACGTTTTGCTTTAACAGAAGAGGTACAACCTGAGCAGAAATAAGGTCCTACCCTTGAACAGTTCTGATCCGACTCAGTTCACATGATTGCCTTCTCGGCATTGGGGATGAACACTCACAGATGCCCTGTCCCCTGCCTGTCATAACCCTACAGATCTCATGCTGGGTCAGTGCCCTTCCTTGCTACCAGATCTTTAAAAGGAAAGAGCCAGCTTCTTCTCTCCCCTGTCACTCGCTCATTCAGAGGAAATATGTGAAGCCCGAGGGATGGAAAAGTGAGATAAGAAAAAGAGAATATTTTTCAAGCTTTTATAGCATCATATCATAATGTATTTCATCTCTGTCATTTCACATACAATCAACTTGTGAAATTACACTTAAAAGCCAAGGGTTAGGGTTTACAGCAGGGACTTTTTGCAAATGATGGTGCTCTGTTAATAAGGAAGATCTTGCTTTCATTACCAGAAAGAAAAATAAAAAGAGAGGACTAAGATCAGATTGGAATATTTTATTAAAAATGATGTTTGAAACATAAGCCACCTAACTGGTGAGGGTGGGGTCTACACGGGTGCATGAGATGGGATGTGGCAAAGCCATACATACAATCAGGCTGCTCTGGGAGGAAGTGGGGTGCAGTGGTTTTGAGCAGAGCTTTGTAGTCATACAGACCTGCTTAAGACTCCTGGTGCTGTCACTCATCTGCTCCCTGGCCTCAACCTTGTCACATCAACACGCCGAGCCTCAGTTTCCTCATGTAAGATGGTACTTATTAGCGTGGCCACCTATACACCGTATGATAACGCACACTCAAGTGCTTACCATAGAGCCTGGCACATCCGAAGCACTCAGTGAACTTGAACCGTTAGGATGCTTTTGGCTTTCTTATTGCTCAGCCTAATTTCATCACACTTGATTCTGCTGCCCCATTTATTTATGTATGTATGATTTGTTTATTTATTTATTGAGAGAGCATGAGTGGGGAGGGGCAGAGAGAGAAGGAGAGAGAGAGACCATCTTAAGCAGGCTCCACCCTCAGCAGGTGGAGCCCAACACAGGGCTTGATCTCACGACCCCAAGATTATGACCTGAGCCGAAATCAAGAGTCAGACACTCGACCAATGGAGTCACCCAGACGCCCCTCTGCTGCCCCGTTTAGATAGTCAGCATAAGGTAAAACCAAATAGGATGAATTACTCAAGCACTCATTAATTCTTTAACGTAAACGAGCATATTTAACATTGCTACTTGCAATAGTTAAGGCGATGCATATAATAGTCTACAACACGGTGAGTTTGAAGTACAAGAAACAGGTGCCCGGATCTAGGCAGGCAAAACATATATACACTCGTGTAGAACATATGCTGCGTGGACTCCAACAAAATGACTTCACTTCCTACCCGGCAAGGCTGGGAGGGGTCTGCTTCCTTCTCATAGCCACTTTGCGGCCTAGCAGCCCAAATCCTCTCTCTCTTTCTGAGTCAGTTCAACACAACTTTTTGAGCTATGGTTCCTTCCCTGTGCCGGGCTCTGGGGACACTAAGATGCATAGGAGTTGCTTCTGCCTTCGAGAACCCAGGGTGTAGCAAGGGGGACAGATACCAGTTGGCCTCAATTTCTGCCAGGCCCCTGGGGAGGACTTATATACATGGATTCCTGTTCTCACGTATGTGAGGGTACCCAGGGGGAGCCTTTAAGCTTGGTTCCTGCCAACAGGCAGAGCGCTTCTCTGTGTGTCTGCCCGGGGGGGAAGGCAAAGCTGTTTGACTGGGCCCTCTCCAGCTTGCCCTTCCTCCTCTTCCACCATGGAATCACCTCCTCTTCCCTCACTTAGGATCAGGTACCTGGGCCCTCCCACGTTCAGACAATCCCCCTCTCCCATCTCCCTTCAGCAAGAAAGAATGAAAAGCCTGGGGACGGCCTATTTCAGTAAGTGGAAATTCATTCCTGCTAACATGTTAAATACCCCTCCACCCTAAAGACTGGCCCGTGAAGGAAAACCTACCTGAGTGATTTAAGACTGTTCCTATGTTGGAGGAGAGGATCGGGATCGACAGGGAAATCAGGGGAGATGCGCTATCCTCGCTTCCCCTGCCTGGTTGGCTTTCAAGCCCTCCAACCCTCTGGACGTGCAGTGAAGAGAGCTGGATATAGCCGCTCTCAAGCCAGGCACATGGCTGACACAGAGGTGAGGACAAGCCACAGGACTGGAGGACTGGAGATGTCTGGGTGAAGGCAGAGATGTCAGTCCCAGGGAACTAAGAGAACCCCGGCCCCCAGAGACTAAGATCCAGGTCCGGGGCCTTTCCCTGGATGTGAATGAGAGAAGAGGAGAAGGAGAAAAGAGTCTGGGGATGAGCACAAATCTGATCTTGACACTGATTATAGCTGTAAAGGACTGAGCACATGAGGAAACAAAAATCGGTTGGTCATGTCAACATAAGTTATGCATAGTCATTCATGCCCACTCGCTTACCATTTGTATGCGATGGTCTTGTTGCGCTGAAACAATGACGTACTTCAACAAATGTGGTTCTGAGTAGTTATAAGTTTTATTCAATTAGGTGAGCAAATGATATACCTGGGTGCCCACCTTCACAATTTCTCCCTCCAGTTACATAGTCCTCTATTCTCAACTTTAACAGCGGAGCAATATCATTCCTTTTAAGCTATTAGATATCATGGGGTTGGAGGAGGGAGAGATGCATCCTTCTGTATTCAGTATTTCTCCTGATAACTTTTTATTATCTGAACAATTGCTATACAGTTTGCCTGTTCCCTGTGCTTGGAATTTGTGGATTTTTTTTCACTCAGGTGTTTCATATTCATGAAATAGTAAAAGTTGTAAGTTCCCACCTTTTTTTCCCTTACACACACACATATATAGGTAGATGCCTTCCTGGCGATTTGGATTGGGTCCTAAACATTAATAACTTATGTTACCATGCCAACTCAGTTTAGCACTCAAATAGCGAATTTGCTAAATTACCGTCACACAGAAATTTGAGCCTGCTCTTCTTCAGAAGATCTACAACCAGCTAGGAATCACGGTGTTGGAAGAAGCAGGCCAAGTGCACCGGCTCCTGAAATGAAAGTGAGACTTCCTCACTTCCGTTCTGTTCTGATTCCCTACCTGGAAGGTTTCCCTTCCGTCTATTTTGGTGAATGAGGGAGGAATGCTTACTGCACAATTAGACTTCTTTGGGTAAAAGGTAAGATCATAAATAAGAAATGCTTTTTAAAAAAACATATATATAATTATAGAGAAATCTAATGACAACTGTTTAAAATTTAAATTTTTAATTAGGCAGCATTAAAGAATCTTACGTTACTGAAGTGTATTTTATATACAACTCTGAATAACAGGTGGATGGAAATTGCAAGGATCCGGCCATGGTCATTTTAAAATTTGATTACCTAGGAATATCTAGCGGGCAAGTGGCCTCCACAAAATCACTACATGGGGGAAAACACTACAAGGCTTTGGCAGAGCCCCCAGAGGGTTATGTCACTCATACAGCAGTTTGTGTTTGGGACCATGTAGGGAAAGACTTTCCAAATGTAAAAACTAATTATATACAAGAGCTAGACATTGTGTTATCATTTAAATAAAACGTGTCTTTAAATATGGAATTCTTGGAAAAACTCACTTCATTGTCCAAAATGATGGAGACTACTTTGTTTTTTTTAATCAAAGAAGGAAATCTTCATTATAGAAACTTCTAATCGGACTGGGCAAGAGGTTTTCATTTGTAGAGTGTATTTCATAAAAACAGCCAGTGGCCAAGTCTCATCAACGATGGTATCCTAAGGGAAGTGCTGTGACGAACATACCTAGAAAGATCATCAGCCCTTGCTGGCTTGCCTGCTCTCCCCATCCCCGTGAGTCTTTGCGGGGAGCAAAGGAGTGTGGGTGGAGTCTCTGGGAGGCTAGAAAATCTTGCACTCGTTAATGGAGAAGAACCTCCTTCTGTTGCGCCTCCTGGCTTGGTTGACAGCAGTCCGGACAGCACACTCGAACACCTGCTGAACCCCCCTGTTGCTGAGGGCCGAGCACTCCAGATAGCCCTTTGCTCTCACTTCCTGGGCCAGTTTTTTCCCTTCCATGGCATTGATGCAGGAGGCCCTGTGGGGCCCCACCTCTCGCTGGTCCGTCTGGGTGGCCACCACGAGCACGGGGGTGCAGGGCAAGTTGCTCCTGATTTCAGCAATCCACTTGTTCTTCAGGTTCAGGAAAGAGTTATGGTTGGCCACAGAGTAGCACATCAGCACCACGTCTGCCTGCTGGTAGGACAGGGGGCGGATACTTTGGAAGGCATCATTACCCGCTGTGTCCCAGAGGCCCAAGCTGATCTGAACGCCATCCATGAAGACGTCCACACCTGTGTTCTCATACACCGTGGGCTTGTAGGCCTCAGGGAAGGTCTCTGAAGTGAAGCGCACCAGCAGAGAGGTTTTCCCCACAGCTGAATCTCCCACCAACACACACTTAATGGAACTCAGCATCTTCCCAGCCTGGAGTCCTAGTTACAAGTTCAGAATCCCAAGTGAAAGGGCCCTCAGTGGGCTGCTGAAGCCAAGGCCATTCACCACAGGGAATGAAACCCAGAGGGGGTTGTGTTCTCAGGGCCCCGTACAGCAATTCTCCCTGTCCATCCGAGGGAGACACAATCTACATTGAAAACCTCCAAAAGCCAGTCTTCAACTGCAACAGAAAGAAAGGGGGGGGGGGAGATTGAGTCTTTCTTTTTCCTTTTTTTTTTTTTAGAGAGAGAGCTCTTGCAAGTGGGAGCAGGGGGAGGAACAGAGGAGGAGAGAGAATCCCAAGCAGGAACCATGCTCAGCACAGAGCCTGATGCGGGGTTCGATCCCACAACCCTGAGATCATGACCTGAGCCAAAATCAAGAGTCGGATGCTCAGCCGACTGAGCCACCCAGGCGCCCTTTCCCTTTTTAAAGACGGGGAGCTTCCTCATTGGCACGCTGATTAAACACGGGGCTCCCCTCGGTGTAGCCGTCCAATCACTCTCCCCTTTGGTGAAGAAAGCTGTGCACATACCCCAGCCCTGACACCCACAACTCCACCCAGTCAAGAAGCAGAAGCTGGTTTTATCTCTAAATCAGCCTAGTGATAAAAACACCAGCAACTGCTCTGATATCAACATGAAAAAGACCTCAATAGCAACCTGATGGGTTGAATGCTGGCTTTCAGACAGCTCTCCGTTGCCTTCGGCTCCACCGAGGTGGGGAAGAGAAGACAGCAGCTTCAGGTTCTAGTGGATCCTAGCTGCTTTGGGAACTGCAAGAAAGAGAAGCAGAAATTAGAGTGACCATGTAAGTACATCCCTTCATGTATTGATCAATCAGCCAGTCCTCAGCTTATGTGGGAATTCATGCCGAGGTCAGAGAAAAATCACCAGAACTCTAAAAGTTTGCTGTGGTTTTTCTCTTGAGGTTTTGCCAAAAACTGGCTACAGATGTAATAGAAACGGCACCGTCCTTGGCATTTTCGGCACCTGAAATCAAGCTCCATAACCAATACGATGACCTCGCTTTGAGCACGTGATTTCATCTGCAAGCCTCAGTGTACACATCTGCAAGAATGCCATGAACTGAGGAACAGCTTCTCTGAGATGTTGTGGGGAGTAAATTAGCGCTTTTTCCCCAAAAGTTCGAAACAGCTGCCTATGTATCAGGAACTCTGCTGGGCCCTGGTGATACAAAATAACTTGCTTAAAAGCAACCCTATTCAGTGCCTGCCACTTAAACAGGGCAGCATAAATATGACAGCATCTGAATTTCGTGAAAGGGTCAAATAAATTCTCATTCCCTGCAGGTGTGAGAGCTCCAGACGATGAGATCAGCCTTGGAGACAGTGTCCTGTCTGCCGAGGGACGTCATGCAGGCCAGTCCAGCTTCAGATAAAGGAAAGGTCTTTCAGACCAAAATTCAGAATAAAGGTTATTAAGACAATCTGGGCTTATAAGCTTCCCCACTGACGATATTCCTGACTTGTCACATGTAAAGCAATGTATAGGTCTGCCTCAAAACATACTTTTTTTTAAAGATTTATTTATTTATTTTAGAGGGGGCGGGTAGGGGCAGAGGGAGAAGGAGAGAGAGAGGATCCTCAAACAGACTCCCTGCTGAGCACAGAGACCCGTACAGGGCTCAGTCCCAGGACCCTGAGATCATGACCTGAGCCGAAACCAAGAGCTGGCCGCTTAACTGACTGAGCCACCCAGGCACACCTCAAAACATTATTTTTTAAAAAAATAACTCCTCTAAATCCTGCCATTCCCTTCCAAGAAATCTTTATTCTTATCAACCCATAGTCCCTGTTTGTTTAATGACATAATAGCCTTTGCAAATGAGTTAATCAAATGCGTAATTCACATGATTTTCACATACTAATTTTTTAACGACATGTGAGCTGGGTGACCTTGGCCAAGTTGCTTAACCTCTGGGAGCCCTGGTTTCTTCATAAAAATGAGAATAAGAAAAGTACCTCTTCATGCAATTATTCTAAGTATTCAGCATGTGGAGAGTCTGTCTTAGCACAGAACCTGGCACGTGGGACCTATAGGGAACCATTATGTTACATATTTCCACTACTATTTATTTAAAATGCCAAATATTGAGGTGCCTAGGTGGCTCAGTCAGTTAAGCATCAGACTCTGGATTTCGGCTCAGGTCGTGATCTCAGGGTCCTGGGATCGAGCCCCCAGTGGGACTCCCTGCTCAGTGGGGAGCCTGCCTAAGATTCTCTCTCTCCCTCTCCCTCTGCCCCTCCCCCCACCACTCTTCACGCTCATGTGTGTGTGCGTGCGCTCACACGTGCGCTCTCTCTCTAAAAAAAATTAAAATAAAAAAATAAAATGCCCTATATTGAATGTCCATGGCATGGGGGTTGGGATGTCAAATGTTTGGCTAGACTCTTTCTTAAGACTCTCAATGGGCCACTTTCATGCACCATGGTCCTGGATACCTACCTCTTTGTTACCAGACCTTTGAGCAAGGTCTCCTTGGGGGGCTCTGTCAGGTCTCAGACTTTAGCCCTTTAGATCTCAGATGACTTAAATATGTGCGTTTGTGACCCCCTCATTACTTGTTCAGAGCCAAGACCTCTTAGGACATTTTTGAGTTTTATTTTGATGCCAGTGGAGCAGGACTGGAACTAGGAAAAAATGTGCATGTGTCAGGCTTTTGGTTATTAAATAAAATCTTTCTAATAGATTGATTGAGTAAAAGCCAAATATCCTGAGTAAGTCCCTGCAACAAAAAGATGATGAGGCAAGAACACCGACTTTAAAGTTGGGTAGATCTGGAATTGAATCCTGGCTCCCAACCAACCACCTATGCAACAACCTTAACCAGAGTTTCTTAATCTCCCTAAGTCCCATCGTCATTCTGGAAGGTTGATGGGCTTCCTTTCAGTGGAATTTTTCCTAAAATGAGAAATTCTCCCTAAAAGGGCCTATCGGTGAAAAACAGATGCGGTTTTTCTGTGGTGCTGCACCAGTGGCTAACCGGCAGGGGGGCTCCCGTTCTATGTCTCTCCATGCAGAAGAGTTACTGAGTGTGAATTCAAATGGCATCATGAGAGAGGCCACTAAGTGACCCTATGAGGACTTCAGTCACACTGGAATCAATGCACCTTCAATCTCAGAAGCTCTCAGTTCTCAGGAACTTGAGTTCTGTCTCCCTTTCTCCCTTTTTTCACCATTTTCACAGAAAGTACACCTTCAAGGGGCCTGGATGGGTCTCACGCAGAGGGAAGATGGGAGCGAGGCTTCATCCCCCAAGGGCAACGGTGCAAGGCGGGAGCTTCTGTCCACTGCAGCAGAAGGACAAGGGCAGGCGAGAGGGAGGGCGTAGGGACGAGACACCCTGATCCACCTCATCTCCCGGAAAGCTGAGGGCTAGCCAGTAGGAAATCCAGGATTCAGTCTGGCCTCGAGTCCCCTCCCAACTAATAGATACCCATTCTTCCCTCCTAATCTTTCTTTGGACATACTCTGTGCTTCTCTATTTGCCTGCAAAGACCTTTCCCTTCGCTCACCCCCCAACTCCCACCCCTTCTTGAAAAGTTTCTCTGATGAGCTGAGCTGCTGCTAGATCAGGCGCCGTCCCCTCTATGTTGCCATAATCTGTCCCCACCGACCCGTCATGTAGCCATCATCATATCCCGATAAAGTAGTTAGCCCTCTTGAGCTAATCCCTCCTCTATAAACCTGGAATAAGACCTGCCTTACCTTCCTTGCAGCAAGTGGATCAGGTGGAAATTATACCAACACAGCAACAAATTGTGCTTGTACACAACTGTACGTTTAGCAACACTCTCTCGCTTGTTCTGTGAGACAGACAGCCCCTTCAGAACAATAGAGCACAATATAAGACTAAGGTGAAATTATGACCATTATTAACTAACTATTATTGCGAGTTCTAGGTTATCTGGCCTTTGATTAAGGTGGCTTATTTCAAAATGCTGATGGAATCCTCAGCTATCTTTTTCGAAAAATATGAACGAAGGACAGCCTCTCGATTACAGAGGATACATCTAAAAGTCATCCTCCTCAAACGGGCTTTGGGCAAAGGACCTACTCTAGCAGTAGCCAATTCATTCATTAAGGAAATGGATTCTACCACGAGTCTAACACACTTAGATGATTAAGAAAGCATCATGTTCTTCAGCGACCCATCTCCCATCAGGACCTTCCGTCAGTGACCCCTCCACAGCTTAGCAGGGACACCACAGTGAGAGCAGGCCTTGCCCCGGATGGTTGAGCCCATGGAGAGCTCCCCATCTGGCAATGGGGTTGGGTGCTTCATTTCCTTTCTTTTCCTTGGCTGGGTGGATGGGGGTCGGGGGGAGACAATTCAAACACTCTTAAGCAACTTAATAGAAAAAAAGTGTAATTATCTCTAAATGTTATCACTCCAAATTCTTACTCAGTTTCATTCTCTAATAAATATACACTTATATAGATCTTCTAAACATTTTCTCAGATTTTTAAAAAAATGTTGATTTTCAGCAGTCTACACACTTGCCAGGTTTTAGCTAAAAAGCTGCTTATTGATTCAACAATTCATAAGTGCCCAGCCATTCTCCATGGTTAGCCGAGTCTTTGAGTTAAGGATTTCTCCATCGTTAACAACTGTGCTGTTTCACATCTAAAATATATCCATGCATATATATATAAGTTACCTTTATGTGGGATGATTTCTTGGGGATTATATTCACAAATGTGGCATTACTGGGTCAATGGTTGTTTTGTGACTTTTATTCACATTATTCAGCATCTTTCAGGGACTGTACCAAGTACTTTGTATTATTCATTAGTTGTTTTATTCATTTTAAAAAACATTTGTTTGGGGTTTCCTGTGTGGCAGGCACCAAAACATGTCCTAAGGGTGTACTAGTAATCAAGACAGTTGCTGTCTGCATAGAAATTACTGTTTCACAGCTGTAGAGACTTCGAGGAGTTTGAGAATCTTGCCTATGGTCATATAGCAAGCAAATGGCAGGGGCTAAGTGAGCCCTAACTAGTCCGGCTCCAGAGCGGTAGCAGCCCC